CCTAGTGACCCACTAGCCAAGTGTTTAACCTCTGTCCCCTTGACCTTATGTTCTGTTGGCCTAAAGCTCTTAGTTCCAAAGGGATATATGCTGCCACCAGGAGACACAACGATGATCTCATTGAACTGGAAGTTAAGACTGACAACTAGCCACTGTGGGCTCCTCGTGCCTCTAAATCAACAGGATAAGAAGGAAATCACTGTGCTGGATGGGGTGACTTCTCCTGACTGCCTTACCAAGGAGAAATTAGACCATTATTTCACAGTGGAGGTAAGGAAGAGGGTGTCTATAACACAGAAGACCCCTTAGGGTGTCTCCTACAACTGCCATGCCCTGGGATTAATGTCACTGGAAAATGACAACAACTCAATTCGGGCAGGTCTACTGATTGTCCGTACCTTTCAGGAATGAAGGATTGGGCCATCGCAGTGACATCTAGGAGGTCACACTGTCTGACCTGGAGCCAGAGAATCTCTCAGAGACCCCTGACAGCCAGCTGTTACTCCTGTGGATCAGGAGTTTGGGGACACGGCCCAGGAGCTGCTGCAGCCATGCTGCTCTCTGTTGGCCAACACTGTTGCTGTTTACCATGCAGGTGAGTGTGCCTGTCTGTCCCAGGGACTTGGTCCCTGAGGGTAGCTGAGTCAGTCCCATCTGGACCCAGAATCAATAGCGGGAGACACAGGGAGAACAGTGAGCTGAGTGAGTGAGGGGGAAGCAGAGGTGAGCTGAGGCTCCCCAGAGTCTTGCACTCAGGAGAGGCCCCCAGCACCTGTGCAAAGTGAGGAGGCAGATGGGGAAAGGGGCCCAATGCACCATGCAGGTGCTCAAGAGCTCCCCTCCCAAGACCCCTTCAGGGACACTTGGGTCCCCCATATCTCTTTCATTATCTAAAAGACTCAACAGGGGAGGAGTTCCTACATTCAAATGTGTGTGGGTCCCTGACCCCCTGTAGCACCCCTCAGCTCTAGGCACAGTCTCTGTTGCCTGGAGGAAGAGGAGGAGGAAGAGAATTGCACCCTCCCAGGCCCCAGGTGGTGAGAGAGCCTGGCCCTTCATGGCCCAGGGTCCCGGAGGTCCTGACCGCTGCAGTCTCATCACAGCACAGCTCGGTGAACTCACTGCTCACTTCCCTCTGGCCTGCGAGACTTTCCCAGGTGGCAGGGCCAGGCAGACTCACCTCTGAGATAGCCCCACGGTGCCCCCTGCTGGCCACATGTCCTTGCAACCAGGCCACAGACCTGACACACCTGAGTGTCCTGCGGGTCTGCACTCGATGGTGCAGTTGCTTCAGGAAAATTCCTTGCAGGTATTCAAACAGTGACACCAAGAGTTACCATGTGACCCAGCAATTCCACTCCTGGGTACAGACCCAAAAGAAACGAAAGCAGATGTCCACACAAAACCTTGTACGTGAATGCTCATAGCAGACAAATACATAATAGCCAAAAAGTGGACACAACCCAAATGTCCATCAGCTGAGGAATAAACAGACTGTGCTGCAGCCACACGATGGAATGCCATTCAGCATCGAAAAGAAATGGAGGGCTCACACATGCAGCAACATGGGTGGACCCTGAAGCCGTCATGCTGAGTGAAAGAAGCCAGACTCAAAAGGCCACGCATCGTATGATTCCATTTATAGGCAATGTTCAAAATAGGCCAATCCACAGAAACAGAATATGAATTTCTGTTTGCCTAGGCCTGAGGGCTTAGCAGAAACGGGACTGTCTCCTAACGAGTAGAGTGTTTCTTCTGGAGCAGTGATGGAAAGCTTCCAAAATCGATTGTGGTGACATTGCACAATTCTGTGAGAATATTAAAAACACTGATTTACACACCTTAAAGTGTGACTCGTATTACATGTGAACTATAGCTCACTGACGCTGTAATGATGACTAAAGACTGCACGGTGCATCAGCAACACAGAAAACATCCCCCAGAAGGGAGGACAGAGTCTCGTTCACTCACTTTAAAGGGTCCCAACCAGGGCAATGAAAACACAGAGGAATTCCAGTAGCGAATGTTCTAGGTACTAGGACATCCTGAAACATCCATGAGGATTTCTATGTTTTAACTTTTTTTTAAAAAGGCACCTAAAGTTTAAAAAAACATATTCACAAGTGTCATAAAAGAATCATCATAGCTCAGGGGGAGGAGAACACAGGGAACCATCAAATGGAAAAGAAGTGGAAGAGTTCGGATCATGTGGATCTGCACCCCGAACATGAATGTGGACCTGCGTTTATTACTGCTCCACCCCAGAGAGACGTGAAACAGTCCAATTAATGAGATCTCTTTCAAAAGCATCAGTTTATGACAAAACAAAATATTAGGAAATAAATATTTTGCAATCATGAATTGAATCTTCCAGATTCCAAGATTTATAACTAAAAACTCCTGAAGGTTCCATTTCATAGGCATTGAAGTGACTCTCCTCCTCGTCGTTGTAGTGGATTCCAGAAGTGACAGATGCCTTCAGGATCAAACTGAAAAGAGTCCAACAGTGTGTGTAAAAGGCTGTTCTCGAAGCTGAGTCTGACCCTAAACTCTATATAAGATCAGAGACGTGAACAAAGAGCAGCACAACCAGCAGGCAGAGCAACAAGGAACTGTGGAAAATTCAGCTCTGTGTGCCAGGATATTTCAGGGCACGTGTCTATTAAAATTCATCAGGCTTTAACGCACCTTTCACGGTTAAACAAAAACAAATACAAAGACATTCTGGATTTGTCCAGGCGTGTGCCTGTTCCTGATACCAGCCTTTGGTGTCCCTTCAGTTCACATGACTATCACCGATCACAGTATGCACCCCTTGGGCGAAGACACCGCTCACCAGGGCCAAGGTGACTGAGGCACTGGTGCCACGGAAGTCTGGGCTACTTAGCCAGGGGACACCTCCTACCTCCGCCTCCTCCACTTCTGTCCTGGGCAGTCAGGAGAACCCCACCCCACCCTAGGGGCTCTCAGATGGCTGTCATGACGTGGTCAAGGTTTTAATGACATTGTGGGCATAGGGGTTGCCAGGTAATGAATGCACAAAGAAGCTGCCCTCTATCTGTATTATGATCACATCAAGGGACATTACTCACACTAAAAAGGAAAGACATTGTTTCTAGAATAAAGGACAGACTATCCTAGGACAGACCATTTGCCAAGCTTCCCCTGACGTGTGTGTACATAACACATAAATCGCATTCACCCACCTTTCTAAGGGGTTTCCTCCTCTCTAAATGCAGATGATGATAAACCTCCCTCCCAGGGGTGTGGCGAGAAGGAAGCACAGGGAAAGTGTGGATCCAGCCCCAGAACAGAGTGAGAGGGAAGACATGTCAGCTGCTGGATTCTCACACACGCCTCCTCCTGGCCTTGATCTGCTCACTGCCCTCCATCAGGGAAGACTGCACAGGCCAGCCTGGAGAACCAGACCCAGGGGAGAACACCAGGTCACAAGGAAGAGGCCTGGCCCTGAGTCTGCCACCAGGGGCCCCACAGCTTCATTTGTACAAGACAGCTCTGGTCCACTCTGCACACCCACCTGAGCGCTGACCTGCTTTATACCAAGCACAGCACTGGGGGCCATGGTCGGGAGCAAGACAGCTCCTGCCCCCCAGGAACGTCAGACCCAGGGAAAGGAGAACCAATGACGGCCTCGGGTAACCAGTGGTCACTGATCTAGTGCTTCTCATGGAGGTTTAAACAGAAACATAAAGAAGCAAGCCATTTGAAAGACAGTTGACAGAAATTGGAAAAAAAAATGAAATCATCTAGCTAAATGAGCATGGAGGTATAATCCGCTTGTCAAAATCTTGGCAGGATGCTCATGAGCTGTGCAGGCTGCTGGCTGAGTGGGTAGTAGAGGCAGCGGAACAAACCACCCTGTGCGGGAACCAAGCGCACTGGCGGGAAATCTCCACCAAGAGCAGGGTTGTCATCACCGCTCCTCCAGATTACCTGTTGCACAATCTGACCCTCACCCAACATCCCCCCTGAGGGTCATTTTCATTGATGGAGACTCACGCGAGCACCATGTGCTTCCAGCTCTGGAAAGCAAGGGGTCGACTGACACACACATATCAGGACCTGGCCTTGGTCCTGCTACCCTGCAGGTGCCCCAGTGCCAACAGTGAGCCTACCTGGATCTGCCCGAAGTCCACGGTGATGGTAGCAGCAGAGGTGAAACCTTTAATGATGGCACAGGAGACGAAGTCCAGCAGGAACCCTGGCAGCCAAGAGGGAATACTGTGTTGGTCAGAGCTCTGCCTGGTCCCAGAGGACATGGGTGGACATGGTGGGGAAAGGCAGTGTGGATGAGACTGAGGCTGAGGACTGGAATGACATGCCCTGTTTGGGCTCGTTGGAGAGCAGGAAAGGGAGGTTGGGGTCTGAGGCTCTGGGAGCTTCTCCAAGTGTCCTGGCCTCTCAGCAGAATAGGGGAGGGCTGAGGGGTGAGGGTCCCCCTGCCCCTACTACACGCACACAGGGATAGCCCTTGGAATGCAAAGAAGGAAATGCTGAGGGCAGGGCCATCCTCAGAAGGCAGGGGCCTCGGTACTCTGGGAAGAGCAGAACCACACCTCCCCCACCATGGAATGAAGGCCTGAGAGTCTTACCCAAGCACAGGGACCCCATGGCTAACTGCATGCAGCCCACAGGAAAGCCAGCAGCACAGCATAGGCGGGCTCAGGGTAACATGCCAGAAGGTGACCAGGAAGAACTACACGAAGCACCCATGAAGGCAGAGTAGAAGCCACACTGTTGGGGAGAGAGTGATGAGCACCCAGGAGGCACTAGGCACACCCATGGTGCCCCTGGTGTAGATATCTGAGCACAGGGGTCTGCGGTGTCCACTGTGTACTTGGGGCACACCAGCGCACACAGGCAGGGTAACCACTCACCCTCGATCATCCATGAGTGTGACCTGCTGTGATGAGGGGACCTCTTTTCTACCCGCACCCAAGTGGGGCCACAGGTACCACCTGTGGGAGCACAAAGACCTGCGTGTTTCTGTGTGAGTCTGCGAGTCTGAGAAATAATGCTTAAAGCTACAGTGAGTCATCCTGCTGGCCCCATCACACAACCCAGAACTGCCCTGATACCTGTGTGTGACAAGTGTGACAAGAGAAGTTATAAGGGTGCGCGTCTCCCCAAAGGCAGTCACATGCTCTAGACTGTAAACCAAGGCTTCTTGGTTCCCATGGGGCTGGAGCCCTGGGTGCCCTGCTGTCTGGAGGGGATACTGTGCATTTCTACTCTGCTTCTGGGCAGGTGATGAGGCCTAGTGTGGGGTCAGGGTGGGGATGTGGCCAGCAGCAGGGGCAGACATCTCACCTGGGGCAGGAGTCAGGTCACCTCAGCACAGGCCAGCGCGTGGGGAATGACCTTGAGCCCCACTGAAAGTCCAGTGATGAAGTCCATCTTCAGAGTCCAACAGCCAGGCCAGGATGGGCAGCCTCCTCTGCACAGCCGCAGGGGTGCAGCAGTGGTCTTGCAGGGCCATGCTGGAGCCTGAGGGCCTGGCCTCACTCAGCCTGGGGTGGAGCAGGGGCAACACAGACCAGCAGTGTCTGGGCCTCAGAGGACCCAGCAATAGGGCGGGGATCCAGGGCATCAGGGGAGGCACAATCTGTCTCCCCTCCAGGGGGTCTGAGCTAGATGGCCTACATCCCACCCCCTTGCTGGTCTGAGACAGGAAGCCAGAAACCTGTGCAGAGGGGACCTCCACCAAAGATGGAGTGTCCCCACACCCCTGCCCCGAATCCCAGAACCCCACTTGCCCAAACCCTAGCTGATGAACAGTTTCTCAATAAGAAGCCTAAACACTCAGTTTTTCCTCCAAGGAAAATCTGCTTGCTTCTTTTTTTTTCCTCCCCAGGGAATTTAAGGAGGCACAGTGCAGAGAGAAGCAGGGTCCAGGGGGCTCCCTCCTCTGGCTGGTGTGGGTGTGAGGACTGGAGGCCCTGAGGGCCCGAGGCTTTGCAAAGGCCAGCCATGGAGACTTCCACCCACTAAGGGGACTGCAGCGCTGGAGGGGCTGTCTTCCATTGAGGCCTTGCCTTACCCCCGCCCCCACCTGTGGCATTGGCATCCTAGGGGGCCCCAGGGGTTCTAGTTGGTTCTGGGAACTTCAA